GCCGGCTCGAGGTCAATTTTAAAAAATTCTTTTATGAAAACACAAGTTTTTTGGTGTTTATTTCCGATATATTTCGGTTACGCTTCGGTAACCGTCCTCAGGGCAACTATTGACAAACATGTGAAACATAAAATATACGTAAACACAAATTCCAAAAACAATAATTAAAAATAAAACGTATACATACATTAATTTACACGTCCGCACCGTTTGACGTGGAGTTTGGTACTGTCGATTTGTTTGTAAGCAAGTGTCTGTACAAGTGAGTGCAGTTTTCAGTGTCCGTTTTGTAGTTCAGTCTTATGTTTGCCGGTGTGTTTATTATATGTAACCAATGAATGAAACCGATTCAAAATAACGTTCCGGTTTGGGTTTCGGTTTTGCCAAGTGTTTCGGTTTCGGTTTTGGTTTCGTTCTTCAAAATTTATTTCGGTTTTGGTTTCGGTTTCGTTCCGGTTTCGGTTTTTCACAGAAATTTTGTTGATATTATTTAAATCACAATGTCTTAAACGTTGAGGAAAGAAAATCGAAAATTACAGTTCACTGATAATATCAACACTAGGTTCTTTCCCTAACAATCCGGACCTGATTTGGTAATTAGAGAATAGGAGAAACATTTTCTTTCAAATATGGAACAAAGTTCAGAAGTACGGAAACGCAAAAACCCACATTTCGTGCCCACAAGTCGAGAAACAGCTGATTCACGTTGTTCTTGTTTTTGTCACTTATACCATGTTCTGACGGACATCGGAAACATGTTTTCGTTGCTAAAACTGGTTTTCGACCTAAAACTTGTGTTTTCGTCCATATAAAATCTGTTAAACGAAAACCAGTTCCCGCTGAAAACTACTTGAAAACTCACTTTCCACTCATTCCAATCGGTGTCTTCACTAGTTTTTTTCGATTATTCATCGAAGTGGAAGTCATATTTTATCATCTTTAATACGCCATTTCGGATTTATTGTTAATTGCCTGGCCAAAGCAAAATAAGAATGAAAGTTAAAGGTTGTAAATGAAAAGAAAATGAAGGAAAAATGTTTTAGTTGTCGGTCAGAACATGGTATTAAATGCAAACACTTGGAAATTGAATTTTGGTTTCACAAATTTGATTTTAAGTACATAGGTTGAAAATACATCAACAGGCCATTCACTTTCCCTTAAAAGCACCAAGTAAATGCAGGCAACATGTAAACACAATACAGCTGATATGCACTTTGACACTTTATCCATTTTTACTCGGAGAAAATTTCGGGCTGTTTCGGGCAGGAAGAAGAATACACTTACGATCGAATACGCTCGAATTTTCGCTCTCTATTAACCATTTTGTTGAGTACAGGCATGATTTCTGGGCTATTTTGGGCACACGCGGGATCTCGCATTGCGTACGGGAAAGAAACTACTTAAATATAATTAATCGATCCTCGATTCACAACAACAAAGTCATCAGCAGATTTTTGCGAAAAGTTACCTTGCCATACTTATTTACTACTTAACAAGAATTTTAGCAAAATGTTGCTGATTTTGGTTAAATAAATCATTTATTTCAAAGAAATTTGTATTTATTATTTTTGAAATTTCTGGAAACCGTGTGATTGAAATGGTTTCGGTATCGTTCCTTTTCAGGTCAAGATAACGGTTACGGTTTCGGTTTCGGTTTTGAAAAACGAAACGGTTTTAAACGGTTACGGTTTCGGTTTCATTCCTTGTATGTAACATTTCTAAGGTAAAGCGCTTATTGTAGTGTTGTTCTTGTTGTAGAATCGCAGCGTCGTTGAAATTCGGTGAGTGGCCGCTAGCTGCACAGTGGGCCATGATTGCTGTTTTTTTGATATTTGTAAGCTGACATTGTTTCAAATCCGATTTGTGTTGTGCTAATCTAGTTTTTAATTTTGATTTTGTGGTTCCTACATATAGGCTGTTACATGACTCGTTGTTTTTACCTTTACAAGGGATTTTATAAATAACATTACTTTTTTCCAATTCGGGTATTTTTGACTTCGTTTTATTAAATATGTTTTTTAATGTATTTGTAGGTTTGTGGGCTATTTTTATTTTATCTTTGTTGTAGCAGTCTGATTTAGCCAGGCGTTCTGACAGATGAGGGACATAAGTTAATGATTTAAATATTGTAGGATTTTCTGAGCTATGTTTACTGAATTGCGATTTTGATCTTTTTAATAATGTACTTATAATATTGTCCTGGAAATCATTGTTTTTTAATAATGATCGAATCTCTTTCTCCATCTCTTCGTGGTAAGTTTCGTCCGATATCTCCAACATTCGTCGTATACAGCCCATTGCTGTATTCATTATCATCGGTTTGGGGTGTTTAGAATTAAAATTGATGATTCGTCCTGATGTTGTTGGTTTCTTATACCACCTTAATTTTAATTGGTTTCCTTGTCTGATTATTATGGAGTCTAGATAAGCTAATTTTCCGTTGTCCTCTAATTCTATTGTGAATTTTATATTCCTGTGAAAAGAATTCAGTGCGTCCAGTGTATTTTGTACCTCATTTTCATTTATTATGGCAAATAAATCATCTACATATTTCGTTAATAATCTTGGTGGTCGTCCTAATTTTTTAATCGTGTTATCCAACAACTTTTCCATAATAATATCTGCAATGACAGGTGAGGCAGGGGATCCCATTGGCATTCCTTTTAACTGGGTATATATCGTGTCGTTAAATTTAAAGTACCTATTTTCTTGAATACAAAATTTTACTATTTCCATAAAAAATTGCTTTGGTATCCTTGTGTGTTCTTTTATTATTGTCCATTTTTCTTGTATTACGTCAAGTGCTAGTTGTATCGGTATGCTCGGAAAAAGTGAGACCACATCGAAGGAAATTAGTTTTTCATCGTCACAAATGTAAGTGTTGTTTGTCCTGTGCTTGAAATCCAGCGTATTCTTGATATTATATACTGAGTTTACCGTTACGTTTTTTAAAATATTTACAATATATTTACATAGACCATATGATGGCGATCCAATGGATGAGCAAATGGGTCTAAGCGGTGTTCCTTCTTTGTGTATCTTAGGGAGCCCATAAATTCTTGGAGGTAACGCGGTGCTTGAGGTGAGCTTATTCCGTTTGGCTTTTGAAATAATTTCCATTTTATAAAGTTTGTCGACTAAAATATTATTTTTATTTTGTAGTCTCGATGTGGGATCCTGTCTTTGTATTCTATACGTAGTTAAGTCACATAATATATCTGCCATTTTACTGTTGTAGTCATTTATTTCCATTGCTACCGTTTTGTTTCCTTTGTCAGATGTTAAAATTCGAATGTTGTCATTTTTCCTCAGAAATTTCCGCGTCCGTTCCACTGTGTCTATAATTGCACACTCTATTGCACTTTGCTTATTTGTTGTTTTGTGGTCTTTTATTAAGAATGATAATTTGGTACGCGCCTCTTCTTGTTGCTCTTTGTCCTTAAGAGTTTGTATCAGATCTTCTCCATCCGCGATGTACTGAAAAAGAGGGAATCTTTTGTTCTCAATTGGTAACCCGAACTTTGGACCTTTCGACAGCAATGATTTCACGTCTGGCGGGAACTCTACTTTCGTTTTATTTACAAACCAATCTTCATGCTTGTTGTTGTCGACAAAGATATTATTTCGTTTGTTCCGCAATTTCTCATAGTTAAATTCTTGTCGCTTTTTCAGTGTTGTTGTAAGCTTATCTGCGACGTTTTGCTTACTCTCCATGAGTTCTTTTAAGTCATCTGCGCTCAGCTGTTTCTTTAATTTTGTTGCTATTTCTTCCACCTTCTGTTTTTGTGTTCTTAATGTGTTATGTTTATGTTTGATCAGTAGACTTAATATTTTTATGTGGTAGTAATGTGTATGTCTGGCTAAAGTTCTGTCTATTTCAGGATGTGTGTCACAGTAAAATACAAATAATTTCTTACATCTAGTAGAATTCTTTATAAAGTTAGGAATTAATTTTGATTTTCTGCATTTTAAAAGAAATTTGATGCTAGACTTAAGTTTTACCAGCTTTTTGTATGCAGATTGATATTTGTTTATTACTGCTTTAGAGTTGTCATAATTGTTCTTTATTTTCGCATATCCCATTTTTGTTGTTGTATGCTTACGGCGTGCCTTCCGTCTTTGTATACTGATGGTTTTAGCGACCTTTCTACTTATAAATTAGTGTTTTGCCGGCTCGAGGTCAATTTTAAAAAATTCTTTTATGAAAACACAAGT